AATATCAATCATTTAACCTTTATTACCACTACACTTTTGTCTAATTAACCGAAGCACTTTGTTTGTCTCTCCCTACACATGTTGTGATCAGGTGATGCTGCATACAAACAATGTCTTTGAATTAATCAACGTGGCTGCCCCAAATAACCCTGCAAACGAAGAGAAGGAAGGAATCCGTAAGTCGTTGCCGCTCACTGATGAACAAATGCTAGTCAATGCTTCTGACTCTAAGCATTAAACTTCCTAAAAATGATTTCCTACTCGAAATTGTTGAGCTCTCTTGGACTTATTAATAATATAGATACTTTAATGAAATGATATATAAATAGAAATAGAAATTAGTAAATAAAAAATGTGTAACTTTCATAAAGTATTAGAAATTTCCCACAATGATATGATTAGAGATGACGTTTCCATTGAATTTCACATAGCCTTGCTTTCCCAAAAGGTGTTCTCATCCAGACTTAGGTGGACGGCAGTTTCGACCTTGCATCGGTCTTATCAACACCTCAAGCGGCAGTCGAACCGCGAAAGTACAGAAAGTAAGCTCGACACGTTAACTACTCGGCCACATTGTCACGAGTGCCCTTGGGTCACAGGGCAGATGGAAATTTCAAGGAAGGTCAGGCCGGTTCACATATCACATGCTTTGGTGGGATTGTTGATGAAGCAAACTTATTTTCGCTATGACAATCGACTACGCTATATATTTTTGTATGTAAGTAGAGTTTCGAGACTACCAGTAAATCAGTAATATGAGATGTATTCACCATATTTTTCTAATCAAATGACATATAAGGGTAAATAAAAATTATTTATAAATAATGTGTAACTCTCATATAGTAGCTTTAACCAAGACAACTTTCGAAAGAGGAACTGTATTGCGTTTTATTGAAGATATGTAGACGAAGATGGTGTGGCCCTGGGTATGGTAGCAGTCTCCATTCGTTTTAGTAACCTGGTCTTGTTGTCAAGACGACTTCGTAGAACGCGCCTAGTTCGAAGTCCTCTGCCATAGTAGTTACCATAATTCCCAGCATCAGATCGTGGACTTGGTACATTCTCAGACGTTTCGCCCGCATCGTAGTCGGCATCATTAATGAGTTTTGCCATTCTCCACACGCAGCTATGAACTCGTCAAAGAGACAAGTGAAATCAATCCCTTGACAAGCGTTCTGCCGAAAACGGTTACACTATCACTCCTCTTTCTGTCCGGGCGTATCTATCTATTCTTTACCCTCTTATTCCACTGCCGCCCTATCACACCTTCTGACTTGTTTACATTCCACCCACCAAAAGGTATGCCTTTTTGTGGCCTCATCACATCTGCCATTCACCTTGAGCCCCTCTCTTTCGATTGGCTAATCCCACTCGGGCCTCCAATCCGGATCCCTCTCACGATCCCGTAGATCTGTTCCTCCTCTTTCTGGTTGACCGATTTCACTTGGTTACAGTCCAAGTGTGCGTTTTACTCCAGGCGCTATTTCTCAATTCCTGAGAAACGTGTAAACTGTCGTCTCAGAGAAAAGAGCGCCT